CTAACTTTGGCCAATCCAAGTTTTTCTTTTTCTTTTCCAATTTTCGTTGTAAACACGTGTAGGACGTCGTTTGCGACGTTTGAATTACACGCTAGATATAATTTGACTATTTCAAATATTAGAATACTTATCATATTGTTGTCCGGTACGACTTTGATCGGTACGATGCCTTACATTTAACTAAATTAAAAGTAACGCTGCTTCTCAAGAGCAAAACTCCATGCAAAACTCGTCCAATAGTATAGTTATTCGTCACTGCCGAAAAACTCAAGCCAAGTGGCACCATCGACAAACGTGGCTTCTCGATCGTTTGATCAGAGATGCACGAGCGAACGAATGGTTTCCTGGCGGCCGGAAGTGGCTTGCGGATGCCGGAACACCGCTGTCGGTTCCACCATCCACGTAATGCCGTGGAAGTGGAACAGTGGAAAGGATTTTCCAATACAGCACTGGAAAGTCCGTGCGCTATTCCGAACGGAACGAGTTTCCGTTTAATTTCCGAGAGCCGGGGGTAAATGAAAATGGCGGCCCCTCGTGTAAGATTCGAATGGAGTAGAATGGAGAGAAGACCTCTCCCTACAAAACTGATTACTCATTCTCTTCGTGTTTTCATTCTTCTTTTCTCTTTCTATTCCTTTCCATTTTACTTTTACGTAGCGAAGGTTTTTGTTACAAAGTTGGACTAAATAACACGTCCAATAAACAATTCAGCATAATGCCTTCTCTATCGAAGTTGATTGTTGATCGTTGATCGAACTTTTCTAGCATTCCTTTCACTTCACACTCTTCTATCGGCGACAAATCGATTGCGTTTGAACAGTGAAAAAGTACAGAATAGAGAAATAAAGTAGAAGTTCGTTTCTGTCCTTGCAATTGTCTTCTGAAGACAAGCTGATGCTTAGAAACATCTAAATTTAAGTAACGAGAAAGCATAAACGAGTAATGAGAAGGGTATTAACCAATAAATATTTAATTGAAATGTGTATATACATATACATGTGTATGTTTGTTTTATAAATATACAAATATGTATATCAAGTGTTTTGCTTTATAAATATATAATTCGAAAGAGATATTTATGAGGTGTAAAATATTTCGATAATCAGCTTGATTGTCGTCGCTGCTTCATCGAGATTACTATGGATCGTGGATTATTGATACGTCTAGAGGAAAATTGGTCGGTGGAAACGCGAAATCTAGTGATGAAGATCAATAATTAAGTCCGAGGGAAATCTAGTCAGACCGGTGCAAACATTTCCTCGCGTTGTTGCACGCTTCATCGACACGTGCACACGTGATAATTTATGACTATAATATTATACACTATAATTAATATTATAATATTATACACTATAGTTTTTACGAATTGCAATTCAAACGACACAGTAATCAAAATAAGTAGAATTTGTACAATTGTTACTTCCGTTTTCGTCTAACACAGAAGTTTTTAATCTCGACGAAGGTCATCGTAGATTTGTCAGATAATTGTCCGCCCTATCGACCGGTCTGGTGGTCGGGACCAAAAAAAAACTAAACGAAACGACGCGCGAACCTCAA